CTTTGTGTGTGTGTGTAGATCAGAAAACAGTATGCAGGAGTGCCCTTCCACAGTGTGAATCCCAGGAACTAAGCTTAGGTCGTCAGGATTGGACCTTTCTCCCACTAAGCCTCCTTCTCAGTCCTGGGTCTTTGCGTTAATGCTATTTCCTTGTTATTCTTGAGCTTACTTCTATTGTGTAATTTGTCACATGATCACCCTAACTACTCGAATCATTAAGATGCACGGCCTTTTAGTTGTATGCCATTGTGCCCAGCTAAAAATGTGGGGTTTTTTTCTAAAGAAGGGAGTCAGCTGGGGGGGGGTGGCACACACCTTTAATCCCAGCACTCGGGAGGCAGAGGCAGAGGCAGGGGGATCTCTGTGAGTTCGAGACCAGCTTGGTCTACAAGAGCTAATTCCAGGACAGGCTCCAAAGCCACAGAGAAACCCTGTATTGGAAAACCAAAAAATAAAAAAAAAAATGTAAAAAGAAGAAGAAGAAGGGAGTCTTGGTGTTAGTAAACTAATGATCTCCGACTGTGTGGTACATGGACTGCAGAGAAGCCAGACGGAGGCCTCGGACAGCTGGTAAGAACACAGGAAAGGAATGGAGTAGCTGTCTGTGGCCTCAGTCTGGCTTCTCTGCCAGGTGAGCAGCATGGGTGGTAACGTCCAGCCAGGGGAGAGGGAAAGGGACCATAGGCAGACAGGGACTAGCATGGGCTCTTCCCTCTCAGCTTGCATGGGGAGGAGAGAGGGGTCTGGAACCCTGAGCCTTGAGCTGAGATCCCAAGAGCATCCCTAACACACCCGCTCTCCAAGCAATCCTTCCAGGACAGAAGCCATAAAGCTCCCTGTTTCACATGGGGGACAAAGCGACCTCATGGGGGCCCAGAGCTTATCTATACACAGCCACTGTGTACCCTTCACGTCCTCAGATGCCCCAAGGGAGCCAGGCCAGGTGAGCAAGCGAGCCGAAGCATAGCCCTGCCTCACGGGGTCCTCGGCTGTTTTTAGCTGCAGGTGGAGGCTGCCTTCCCCCTTCTCCACCTACCCCTCCTTGAGTCATTTTGGCTGCCTGGGGCACCAAAAGTCCAGACTCACCCCACTTTCCAGATGGACCCTGGAAAACCAGGCGTCCTTCGTGGGCAACCCTCCCTGTCAGGTGAGGGGCCTTAGAAACCCAAGGGCCTAGGTGTTTGGAACGCTGTCGTCGGAGAGCAGTGTCCGGATTAGCATAGTGGGCATGGACTTTCCTGCCAGGAGTCACTTCCTTACTGGGGCAGGCAGTGAGGAGAGCACAGCTGACAACTTTCCCATAAACCTTTGGCAGTGGACAGGCTCTCACAAGGAAACAGCCACCTAGTCAGACAGCGGGACTCTGGTAGCAGAAGCCCCTCTTACCCTCTGTGCAGAACCTCTGTTTGCCACAACCCCTCCGGGTGTTGATCTATTTCCTTGTCTCTCCCACCCCAGAGGATGCCTAGGGTTAGCACCTCCCACTTGTTTCCTGAACTAACCAGCAGGACGGAGTCTTTCTCCACTGGCTTTGGTAGGCTGGTGTTGAAAGGGCTAAGAGCACAGCTCTGCAGGCCAAAGTAAGAGAGGGCAAGGTCCAGACTGTCTACACAGCCTTGGTGAGCCCATGAGCTCCCATCCTGACCCTCTAATGACATGTGTCGTTAGTCCAGGAGTTTTCAAATGGAATAAACATGTAAGGGCGTGTGCCCTAAGACCTGTCTCTCCCAGCTTGTAGTGAAGCTTCTAAGAGTGCAACCTTGAGAGAGAAGCAGGGAAGTGTGACCGCTCTGGGTCCCTTAACCTCCGTAGGCCTAATACCCCTAAGTACTGTTGCCAAGTGCCACAGCGGCACGTGCAACAGTGTTCCCCTAAACTCAGCTGCTTGACGCAGGGACCTTCTTGGGGCTCAACTCTGCATGTATCCCAAGACCTCTGCTGGGATCGATAGGAGCCCAGGCACATTCATGGTGAGGCAGAGGCCCACAGCAACCAACTGAAACAGGCCAGGCCTCTGTATGAATCCACACACCGCCACCCCCATGTCATTCTGTAAGCCAAAGGAAAGTTCCTGGTATCCGAATTTCCCTCTGTTGAAAGAACTCAAATCAAGTATCCAGAGCATAGAATGCAAGACAGATGGGGTTGGAAAGGTGGCTCAGCGGTTAGGAACCCTGACTGTTCCTCCAGGGGATCCGATGCCCTCTTCTGGCCTCTACAGGCATCAGGCATGCACATGGTGCCAATGTACATGCAGGCAAAACACCTTTACACGTAAAATAATAAATTTTAGGAAGGAATCGGGTAGGGTTCATTATAGAGTAAAATGGAACACTCTCAGAGTGTGAGTGGGCAGTGACCACAGGGACTGTTGTACCAACCCACATTCTAAATAAGCTTCATACCACTCCTGATGTCTCCAGAACTGACCGCCTCTCCTGAAGGGCATTGCCCTGCCTTCCCAGATGATGAGCAGGCCCATTTGAATACCTCTAAAGGGAGGAGACAGTGGTCTTTGTACTTCACCAGAAAGCCTTCCTAGATAGGAATCTTATAAATCTTACAAGGTTAGATCCCCTTCTACCCGGTCCCATATCTGTCTCTCTCACGGACACAGTCTTGATGTATGGTCCTGCCTGGCCTGGAACCACCTGCCTGCCTCACACATGCTGAGCTAGCAGACAGGCAGGCAACTATTCATGACTGACAGTTAAGAAGGCCGAGTCTCCTCCACGTAGGGCCAGCGACTCACCTCAGATCCCATCCTCCTGCCAATGCTCAAGAGCCCCAGTGACCTCCAAGCCTGCTGCTAATTCCTAACTAGCTAACTAACTCTGTAGCCACGGGTTCAGGAGACAGGAAGTGTATCCTGCCCTAGGGGAGGAGGGCACAGGGATTGGACAGCAAAGCCGGAGGCGGGAAGCGTAGAACGGCAGCCAGGCAGGCTGTTCTTTCTCATAGCTTCCTCTCGGGTGGTGGTAAAGGTCTATGCAGGCAGTGTGTGTGTGCACAGCAATCCTACACAAGCTGTAAGTGCTGACAGTATCGCACGACAGTGGCCATGAGGCATCCCTGCGACTCCCCAAGAGCCATGCGGCACCCCTGCGACTCCCCAAGAGCCATGCGGCACCCCTGCGACTCCCCAAGAGCCATGCGGCACCCCTGCGACTCCCCAAGAGCCATGCGTCATCCCTGCGACTCCCCAAGAGCCATGCAGCACCCCTGCGACCCCCAAGAGCCATGCAGCACCCCTGCGACCCCCAAGAGCCATGCGTCATCCCTGCGACCCCCCAAGAGCCATGCGTCATCCCTGCGACCCCCCAAGAGCCATGCGTCATCCCTGCGACTCCCCAAGAGCCATGCAGCACCCCTGCGACCCCCAAGAGCCATGTGTCATCCCTGCGACCCCCCAAGAGCCATGCGTCATCCCTGCGACTCCCCAAGAGCCATGCAGCACCCCTGCGACCCCCAAGAGCCATGTGTCATCCCTGCGACCCCCCAAGAGCCATGCGTCATCCCTGCGACCCCCCAAGAGCCATGCGTCATCCCTGCGACTCCCCAAGAGCCATGCAGCACCCCTGCGACCCCCAAGAGCCATGTGTCATCCCTGCGACCCCCCAAGAGCCATGCGTCATCCCTGCGACTCCCCAAGAGCCATGCGTCATCCCTGCGACTCCCCAAGAGCCATGCGTCATCCCTGTGACTCCCCAAGAGCCTTTGAGACCATGTTGTTCCGGCTCTTGTTCTATGTCCTGCTTGTTACTGCCCTGGATGAGGAGTGGGCTCTAAGAACCTGTGGATTGCCCAGCCATTTTCCCGCAGCTGTCAAGAGTCTGTCTCTCCGTGGGCCTTACACACATTCAGCTGCACCCTCAGATCCCTGGGGAGGAGAGGGAAGGGGAGAGCTGGGGCGACGTTGTCTCTGTTCCCTCTCCTGGATTACTTAGCAGGCCTGATAGCCACAGGTCACAGACAGTTAAGCACAAATGAAGAAAATTAAATTTTAAGCTGGGCATGGTGGCACACTCTTGTAATCTCAGTTTTGAGCTGAGGTAGGTGTTCATCCTGAGATTTGAGGGAGAAAAAGCAGTTCCACCATTTTGGGCCAAATTAAAGACAAGTTTTCATTAAAGTTTAAATACTAACCAAGATGGACTTTGGTCAGGACTGCTCCCTGGAATGTCCAGCTGAGTGGCCCTGAGGCACCTGTTGTCAGGGCTTATAAAGAAAGAATCCACAGGCCACCATACTTTCCCATGAGACTTAGCTGTTATTTTTCAAGAACTATGATTCCCAGAATCCCAGCTGAGGATTACAGGTTAATTTAGGATCTAACATGGGGAAATCATGAGATTAAGGCCAGCTTGAGCTACACAGCAAGGCCCAAATAAAACATTTCAGTACTGACATGAGTTTGAAGCATCTGTATTAACTTCACACACCTGCACAGGATAGTTCCACCTGCATCCAGTCCCTCAGCCAGCATTCTCAAGTAACCAGACCCTCTCCCAGATAGAGACTCATTCCTGGAACTCACTCCCTCGGGTAAGAAAATATAGAAAATTACAACTCTAGCCCAAGAACACAGGTGATGAAAACTAGTCACGTACGCACACGACACACACACACACACACACACACACTCTCTCTCTCTCTCTCTCTCTCTCTCTCTCTCTCTCTCTCTCTCTCTCTCTCTCTCTCTCTCTCTCTCTCTTCCTACGCAAAAGCCCCATTTCAGACAGATGGAAGGAGAGCTGCTCTGGGGGAGTAGAAGGGCAGAGAGCTGAGCCTGACCATGGAGTTTGTTGCTCTAGAACCTTCCTGAGGCAGAATAGCTTCAAAGGAAAGTGAGACCCGAGGTCCTAGGCTCCTAGAATCACCCGCATCTTCTGAGCAGGCAGGAACTGAGTGTTATTTTGGCATGGGCCTACTGTCCTGGTAGAGACTGCTTCAGAAGCCCCACCAAGGTCTCAGAGCCATGTGTCCCTCTGTCCTTGCAGGCGGACTCCAAGATGGTGTGTGATGTGGTGAGCCGTATGGAAGACACTGAACCCTTCTCTGCAGAGCTGCTTTCTGCCATGATGCGACTCTGGGGTGACTCAGGGATCCAGGAGTGCTTCAACCGATCTCGGGAGTATCAGCTCAATGATTCTGCCAAATAGTAAGTGCCCAGGCAGGCTGGGAGTTGCAGCATGATGCGGGCACAGTCATGGGAGGCTGGGAGACTGATGGATGAGATGGGGAAGACTCTGGCAGAGATACAAACTCAGGTAATAGTATCAGGGAGGGACAAGAAGGGCTTTACTTCTTGTGCCTAGGATGGGAAGGAAGCAGAGACAACCACACAGGAAGTGTCTACAGGGCAGGAACCTGGTCCATGTCTCCAGGACCACATCTGTACCCACAGGGAAGGTTTCAGGCTAGCAGGTAGGGTTTGCTTCTTCTAGAAAGTCCCAGACAGCAAATATGAATCAAGAGCCATACAGGAGCCAGATGTGAGGAACACACCTTTAAGCCCAGAATTAGTCCCTTTAATTCAGGAAGCAGAAGCAGGCGGGTTTTTGTGAACCAAAGGCCAGTCTGGTCTGCATAGAGAGAATTCCAGGCCAGCCAGGACTACGTAGACAAATACTATCTCAAAACACAGTCACAAAAAATAAAGAAAGGTAACAACAAAAATACACAGGCAGAAAACAACTCAGACGCTGCCATCTTTTCCTAATTTTAAGAAAACAAGAGGCTTGGGGCTGAGGTCTAGCTTTTAGCACAAGCTAGACCCTGGATAATATTTATTGTCACCAAAATAGACTTCTGAAATATGTGTGAAATTGTCATAATGAAATCCATTACTTCTTGTGTTTTTAAAAACTGTTTTTGCTTTGTTTTGTTTTGTGAGACAGGGTCATATGTGAACTCAAACTCACTATGTAGGTGATGATGACCTGAAACTCATGGTCATCCCAACTCTGCCTCCCAAGTGCTAAGGTCACCACCACTCCCAACTTCCCTCTAGCTTTAAAGTTAAAGAACGAAAAATAAGTAGCTCTCCGTTGAGAAATAGCAGAAGTAAGCAAGCATAGCCTTCGATACTGGACAAGGGAGAAGAAAGGAGGGCGTGTGGGGCAGAGGAGATAAAGAGAAGCAAGAAGTGACAGAAAGCACAGCCGAGGAAGTGTCTCGGACCCTTCCTGTGGCACCAAGGTGACGGACCTGCTGGACTTTGCCACTCTGTCTCAGGGGTGGCTCTGGAGTCCGGAAATGGATGATGGATGGCAGCACAGGGCAGGGGTAATCTTGGCACTGAAGAGTGCCCCTCGTTTTTGTAATCTGGTACCCAGGCTGTTAAGGAGAGCTTGCAGTGGGGTGCTGCAGGCTTTTAGCCACTGTCCAAGGATATGTAATCCTAGTGCTCAGGAGATGGAGACAGGAGGGCGGTACATTTGAGGCCAGCCTGGGATATATAGTGAGGCCCTGACTCAAAATAAGAATTTATAAATTTCAGTCTCCATTATGCTAGTATAGCCAGCTGGGCCCAACAGAACAGCACACCCTAACAACATGTGAGTATTTCATTGGCTGTGGTGGCAGCTAACAAAGTAGGGACCCTTCCTAAGGTAGGTTGTGGCCCCACGCAGGTTGTGGTCACCCTGGCCACCAAGCTCTACGAGCGCTCAAGGACCCCTTGGTGAGCAGAGTTCCAAGCTCCCAGGCCTGAGACCAAATAGAGCACCTCTCAGACAACCCCCTCCTGGGTGGCCATGGAAGCTGGAGCTCTACTGCCTCACTGCTCCCTACTGGTGGAAGTCTAGGGCTGTCTTCCCCCCCAGAAGCACTTCTAGGGGCCCCAGGGAGCCTGCTGGCTTCCGTCTGTCTTCTTGGAAGTCCATCAAATATCCCTCCCAAGTTTTACCCATTTTATTAAAACTGAGTCCCCTGCAAAAGCATGTGAGCAACAGACCAGGACATAAGATGAACAGCAGTGTTGTTGCCGCCCCACCCCTCAGCACCCCCCCTGCACCCCCCAGCAACCCCCCTCAGCACCTCTCAGCACCCCCCCCACCGCCTGTCTCCTCCCTTCCACCATTCCCATTTACTCATCCTACACTGTCGGTTCCCCTCCCTTCTCCCCACGCTTTCTCGCCATCCTCAGTTTTCTCCTGGTGCCAGGGTTATCTTCCATTCTCCCTGTGGTCACCATTATAATCCAAGTCAGTATTTGCAGTCACCTGTCCTTCCACTCCCTCTGACCTCACGCTCTGGCTCTCCTCTACCACCTTCTGATGTTGCCAGATGGCATGGTTTTCTCCTAGTCACATCTCCTGTGCTGCCTCTCCGAGAGAAAGTCAACAAGAGATGGGGAGGGTTACGGGTAGAAGGACCTGAAGTGTCGCTTTGCCTGTCTCGTCTTGAGATGGGCTCTCGCTGTGCCCCACATTTACCTGGAGCTTGCCTGATAGCTCAGACTGGCTTCAAACCTCTCCATCCTTCCACCTCGCCCTCGCGAGTGCTGTCATTACAGGTACATGCCACGACGCCTTGCTTCCTAAGTGCTACCTTTGTTCCAGATCTAGTCAAACTGGCCCTGAAAGGGCTGTGAAATTGCATGGCTCCAGAAGGAGCCAGTAACATCCTAAAATCCCAATTAATAGCCATACCACCCCGCCCCAACCCTTCCCTTTGTGAATCCTGGGCCTAGGGAAAAGGACCTGACCTGTTGCTAGACTTCTGTCCTGGTCTTCGCTGCCTTGGTGGGCCATAACACTTCCTCACCTCAGGTGAGGCCTTTCCACCTCAATTGTCAATCAAAAAAAATTCCATACAGATTTGCCTACAGGCCAATCTTATTACAAAGCCAATTTCTTGATTCCCTCTTCCCAAATATGTCTAGGTTTGTGTCAAGTTGAAAAAAAAAAAAAACAGCCAACATATGTGGTTTGGGAGGATTTGGTGAGACTCCGTCAGCATAAAAGTGAGACCAGAGGCCAGCTTGTATGTTCAGAGGACATTGCCCAGCTGAGGTAGGACTAGCAAGACCAAGGGTTCCCGGGCCAACAGGGTCAAGGATGTTAGCCTGGAAGAAGGGGCCGTCAGTAGCTGTGATGAGGAAAGTCGGGCACAGGGAATGCAAAGACCTTCCCAGGTACACTAAGGTCTCCTAGGATACCCATGGGCCGGGTCCAATATCGCTGAGCTACTCTGCTCCCCCAGCTCCTTCCCTTGACCCACCCCCAGTTTGCCTTCCATTGAGAGCACGTGGCGAACTCTGACTCCAAGGATCTAAGTTCCAGGGAGGCCCTGCAACTGCTGGGCTGAGATGGACCCCCAGGTCCCTACTAAAAGAGCATCAAATGGGAAGAGACACACAGGCCCCATGGCAAACAAGACAGCATATAGGATGGTAGGCGAATGCTCAGAGTCTCTCAGCACCATAGAAAACCAAGAATGAAGACTCTGGAGCCATAGGCTTACCTGTATTGAGCCTCAGTTTTTTTTTAATGTGTAAAGCAGTAGATTTGTCACAGAGAAATTAAAGATGAAACATGGATACATGTAAAGAACAGGATCTGGAGGGGCTGGAGAGATGCTCAGCAGTTAAGAGCACTGGCTGTTTTTCCAAAGGACCCAAGTTCAATTCCCAGCAATCATTACATGATGGCTCAGAACCATTTGTAATTAGATCTGGTGCCCTCTTCTGGTCTTCAGGCATGAAGGCAGGTAGAACACTGAATACATAATAAATAAATAAATCTTTATATTTAATTAACTTTTATTTAAATTAGAAACAATCTTATTTAACATTCCAATCCCAGTTCCCTCTTCCTCCTGTCCTACCATTGCCCTATCATCTCCCCATCCCTCCCCCACCCACTCCTCAGGGAGGGTGAGGCCTCCCATGGGGGATCATCAAAGTCTGTCACATTACTTGGGGCAGGACCGAGGCCCTTCCTCCTGTATGTAGGCTGAGAAAGTATCCCTCCAAAGGGAATGAGCTCCAAAAGTCAGTTCATGATCTAGGGATAAATATTGGTTCCACTGCCAGAAGCCCCATAGACTGCCCAAGCCTCTCACTGACACCCACGTTCATGGGGCCTAGTTCAGTCTTAGTCCGTGAGCTCCCACTTGCTCAGGTCAGCTGTTTCTGTGAGTTTCCCCAGCACATAAATAAATCTTAGAGAGAGAAAGAGAGAGACAGAGAGACAGAGAGAGGGAGAGAGAGCGCAGAACCTCAGACTGGAGGGGTAGCTCAGCAGTTCAGAGCACTAGGCTCTTCTTCCAGAGGATATGAGTTCAATTCCCAGTGCCTACATGGCAGCTCACACCTGTCTATAACTGCAGTTCCAGGGGATCTGAAACCCTCTTCTGACCTCTGTGGTGCACATGAATGTGGTTCACAAACACACTTACAGACAATACACCCATGCACATAATATGAAGGTAAATATGTATATTTTTAAAAAGAAGAGATCCTGCCTATCGGCCATTACTATTTTTATAACAGAACTGTTCTGTGAAGCTGGCAGGCTCATTTGCAGGTCTCATTCCAGTGTAGCTGGGTCTGCAGGCCCTGCCCCATCGAGTCTGAATTCCAGGACCTTAGACACTGCCAGCCTAAGACCCTCAAGTTCTTTGATTGCCCCCACATTCACTAACGGTCCTACAGTCAACCTTGCAAAAGCTACGGCAGATGCTGGACTCCAAAAATAGTGAGAAGGGCCCAGATCCATGGATTCTTGTTTGATGTCATCCCCAGCTACCTGGACAGCCTGGATCGGATTGGAGCCGCTGACTACCAGCCCACTGAGCAGGACATCCTCCGAACCAGGGTCAAAACCACCGGCATCGTAGAAACCCACTTCACATTCAAGAACCTCCACTTCAGGTGAGGCCTGAGGAGACGGGACCTGCTGACAGGCCCTGTGATGGCCTGGTGGTGTGCCAGAGATGGGGGGGGGGGATGTCCATGCCCTGTCTCACCTCATCTGGATAGCCAGATAGTGTCTTGCCTCAAGGATCTTTCTCATTTGGTCAGACAGCTACATACCAGAAGCAGCCCATCTGAGGACTTGTTTTCTGTCAAGTTTAAAGGCTAAAAACAGCAGGTGGCTTAGTTTAGAGGCCCCTGGAAAGGGACAGGGTGGGCAAGCCTGAACTAGGTGAGTAGACCCAAGCAATGCCAGCGAGCCCCCAAACATCACTACAGTCTCAAAGCTAGAGAGACTAGGAGAGCTAGCCTGGAGAACCTACAGGAGGTAAGACCTTAAAAAGTGGGGTTTTCTGAGATGCAGAACATACACAGGACCCCGGGCCTCTGGGGGCCTAAGAGCAGGAGCCTGAACTGTACTGCTGGGTTTCTGGAGCCCTACTGGAGGATTCTGTCTCCCAAGAGTAACCTTCATGGGCTAAGGTCTGGTGACCCTCTGGGTTGTCTTCCAGGTATGGTTTCTTGATATCAGGTAAACCTAGAAGAGAGGCCAAGAGGAGAGGCAGGTCTCTGAGTCGCTCTGCTTACGCAAACTCAGTCCTGGGGCAGATCTCAGGGGTAATGAGAGCTGCCTTCGGGCCCAGGAGTGGCAGTGGTTCTTCTGTCAGTCTGTTGTTACTCAGAATGAGGTACTGTGCTCCCGCTGCTCAGCACTCTCGATGCTAGATCACAGGCATCCCCACCCTCACAGCTAGCTTTCCCTGACTTCCTGCAGGCTGTTTGATGTTGGGGGCCAGCGATCTGAACGCAAGAAGTGGATCCACTGCTTTGAGGATGTCACGGCCATCATCTTCTGTGTCGCCCTCAGCGGCTATGACCAGGTGCTCCACGAGGACGAAACCACGGTGAGTGACCTGGAGTGAAAGCCGGCCTCTGCCAGGCACCCTCGCCCACTCTGAAAGCCGGCCTCTGCCAGGCACCCTCGCCACTCTGTATTGTCAAGTAAGATACCAGGGAGGCCGGTACAACAGAAGCAGCTGGGGGCTCCTGGTGCAGCAGAGTCGGGGGCTTGGCCGGTAAGCACCTCACTAGCGAACAGTGGGGTCATGGGGCTATCAGACCAGAAAGAAATTAAGCAAATCCTGCAAGGCCGGATGGCAGCCAAGCAAAAGCATGTGTACAACGGGAAAGGCAGCTTTAGCTGCTCCTGCCCCTCCTGGGACACTGGCCAGCTGGAGAGGTGTGGGGGCTCCCTGGCCAAGAAGGGCACCAAGAAACAGGCATACCGATGAGTGTCATAGGTGGCTTTGAGCCCCCTATGTCAAACTCAGACTCTGAGCCCTGCCACCTGGCCTGAGAGGGACCTTGCCAGCCTTCCCCTGGGCCTCATCCTGGCTCTGCTGCTCATTGATATGAGATAAATTCAGTCAGCACCCTTTCTGCCTGGGTTCCTGCCATCTGAAAAGCAGGGACCGTAGCACCACCTGCCTTGTCTAAGGCTGCTGGTCATGGAAGCGTTTTTTGCTTAACCGTATCCAGTCGACTGGTATATTATTGCTGGTGATTGCCCTGCGCTAGGTACATCCACTGAGATTTTCCCATTTGGAGTTTCAGCTCACAAGTCTGTGGGCCTGTCCACAAAGCCTGGAAAGGGACCAGACCTCAAATGTGTTCTACTGGGTCACGGGAGACAACCCCACTTCTGAGAGTGGGGTTCGTGGCTGTGGACTCACACTTTGACATCTGGAATACAGTCTTATCTGGAATGCAATCAGGATGCTTCACCCTGAGCCTTTGGGAGCGGCACCAGGGGTCAGAGGAGGGGCTTGTGGTTATGCTGGCCTTGAACAAGACCTGTCTTCCTTATGAGTCCAATTTGTTTACCAGTCCAAGCCCAGTCATTGGGGTGCCTTTGGAGGGGGTGAATGACTCTGGGGTGTGCTGGGGTGTGTACTGGGAGGGTGCCGCGCTGGTAGAGGAGGACCCGCCGTCTTGAGTAGTTCACACCGAGTGCAGGGACTTTGGGCAGATGGAAGTCAAGGTGCGTGTAGGAGGGGTGGTCCAGGCTTTCGTCATGGGATGGCTAGGTTTCAGTGCTGTCGCCCTCGGTGACTGTGGCAGACAGTGGCCTAGCCTCAAGCCCCAGTGTGAGGTGGGGAAAACATGCCCTGACCTGCTCTTGAACCCCAGACTCTGTGAAGACCCAACGCCCAAGACATTCTCCGTTAGTGCACCCGTCAGAATGACTGGCCCAGTGCACTGCCACCGTGGGTCGCCTCTGCTACAACAGCCATTGTGCCTGTTCCCTTTGGCCTGTCTTTTCTGGGAGTAGATGGGTTTAAAAAAGACAAAAACAAAAAGTCAAGGAGCTGGAGGCTGGATGGTGGGAGACCCTTCACATTGGGGCATGTGGTCTCTCCTTTGAACCTGCCCTACCAGAGTGAAGGCCCAGGACATCCGCTGTGGGGCCAGGCCCTCAGTAATCCCCAGAGCAAAGATTAGACACAAGGAATGTCCAGTGGGCACCAAGCCCCGTAGCCTGAGATCACCAAGTCGGGTGTGGCTGGCCCCACCTACTTCCCCTCCTTACCAGCCTTGCCGCTGGGCACCCAGGCTCTGAAGCCCTCTCCCTTAGTGTCCTTCCTAAGCTACTGCTCTCCCAACCCTCCCCTGCCTCCAGTTCATTCCCATTTCCCTGGCTTTTCTCCACAAGGGCTGGAGGCAGGAGCCTTGAGGAAGGAAAACCCCTTGGGCCAGTCAGAAACAAGCTCTTCCTAGGGTTCTCCCTCCCCAAGCCTGGCCACCCAACAGCCAGGGGAAAGCACCGAGCCTCCAGGGACGAGAGGTTGCCTTCCAACTTACCAGCAGCCCACAGCAGTGGCTCCTAACTGTAGCGGCAGTAAAAGAATACTGTGGAACTAGCGGTCGTCGATGTGTGGGGGACAGGTGGGAGCTGAACAGCTTGGGCATCGGATGGGCCCCATCCAAGCCCTGTTATCACTCCTGCCAGTTGCGTGGTCATGCATAATCGCCACACCTTCCTCAGGCATGTGCTATAGGGTGATGATGGAAAAACAGCCTCAAGGCCTAAGAGCTGAAATAGTGTCTGCCCTGGCACCACTCAGTAAGGGGCAGTTCCACTCCGTCTAGACGCTGTAGCCAGGGGGCAGCTGGTAGAGTATGGATGCTCTTCCCTAGAGAGGCAGGATGTAGGCACCAACGGCCCAGTCCTTGGTCCTCAGTCTTCCCCTCTAGCCTGCTCTACACTTCCCTCCCTGGCCTGGGGAGGGAAGCTGGGGCCACAGAGACAAAGATGTCTGGAGGCAGCTCCTGGAGCTAGGCCAGGAAGGCCCTGCAGCTAGTGGCTGCCCAACACCGGACCAGCCACCCTGCCCGCTGCACCCTGGGACCCCACGGGCTCATCTTGTCCTCGTACCTGCTCTCAGCGCCACTCAGCCAGGCCACAGGCTGCCACAACTTCTCCACCACTACTGCCACCAGCGCCTGCAGGGCCTTTTCTTACCAAAGCAAGGCCAAAACCATGGGCAGATTCTGAGAGACCCTCCAAGCCCGGCAGGTATGAAGCCACCTCCCTCTGATCAAACATGAGCTAAGAGTTGAAAGCAGCGGGTTCTCAGGGCCCCGCTGGGTGACTTTGCTGTGAATGCCGGCCCCAGGCCTATGCTCCATGCTGGCTTCTGAGCTGAGGCTGTCCTCCCTACACAGCCCTCCGTCCCAGCTGCGTAACACCCATCACAAGGCAGCTGAGGCCTGTGTAGGTGCCTCGAACAGCTGCCCTGGACTTCCTGGGTCTGAGACTGATTGGATCAATTTTTCAGGGTTTCTCTTTTTCCTTCTCTGATGTTTGCTGCTGGGTTTTTAGCTTCCTCTCAGTTTTAATCTCTTTTGCTGAGTTTCTTCTTGGGGTTCTCCTGGCCCCTCTTCTAAGAAACCAGCCCCATCTCCCAGCATTCCCAGAGAGAGCTTCCCTCAGCCCAGGCATATCCCAGTCATCCGACAAAGTCACCCAACCAACCAAGGCCACAGCAACATCACCCCCGAGACACTGTCCCCTGGTATCTGCTTCCAACTCGGGATTAATTCGAGGACCTCAGTCCTCGGTTAATGTTATCCAACTGAATGCGTGCACCCTCCTGACCTCGCTGGCGAAATGAATGAAAGCCTGGTAGAGAAGTCTGCATGACCCACGGTTTCGTGTAGACATGTTGGATGGTGGTTGCATCCCTGCCTTCTACGTGCATGGTGCATGTCCTCTCCAGGGACTGCAGCCTCTGCAGTGACCTCAGTGCCCAGCCCAGGCCAGCTCTCTCTGGAAGGGACAGCACTCCTGACCTACCCCAGCTCCACCCAAACCTGCCTGTGTGTGGAATGAAGCAGGGACATGTCCTGTTTGTCCACGTGGGCCCCTCTGTCTCTGTCCCCAGTAATGCATTAAGACCGTTGGTGGCCCATCCCTCTGCTTGTCTCGCTATGTCATAGCCACGGTAGGTCAGGGTGCTGGGTACCACTAGCCCTCACCTGCCTCTCCACTCTGTTGCAGAACCGAATGCATGAGTCCCTGAAGCTTTTTGACAGCATCTGCAACAACAAGTGGTTCACAGACACGTCTATCATCCTGTTTCTCAACAAGAAGGACATATTTGAGGAGAAGATCACCAGGTCCCCACTGACCATCTGCTTTCCTGAATACACAGGTAGAGCCCGCCTCATCCCACACAGCCCCTTGCAGCTGCTGGGCATCCAAGGAACCAGGTCTCTCTGGGCCTTTCCTATGCTTGGGTGCACCCAGCTCACCCTGCAGACTCCACCCCCAAAGAACTGTGCTAGAGCCAGCTATGACAGGAAGCCCTGAGCAGTTAGGGCCTGGACTGGAGCCCTGGCTTAGGACATCTCAATCTCCTGGGTGATGTTTACAACCCTAGGGAGTTCCAGCTGGTCATCTATAAGCAGAGGGTGCACGCGCAGTGGGAACCCACAATGTCAAAGACACAAAAAACCTGATCTTCAAGTAAGGTAGCCTAGCAGGGTCCAGCCTCAACTTGGCCCTTGGAGAGTGGCCTATACAGGTCGCCTAGCCTCTCCAGATTGGCTCCTCCATCTGTGAGATGGAGGCCGTCAGAGTGACCATCTCCCGCACCCCCTGTAGGTTCACTATGACGATGAAAGATGCACATGACTATGCAAAGTGTGGTACTTGCTACAAGTCTGTGATCACTACTAACCTGTTGTCACTGCTATGCTCACAATGATAAACAGTCACTCTAAGAGCTCCTCCCACACAGCAGCCCCAAGATTGTCATAGTGCATTGGCTGGGACAGAACCCGCAAGCAGCAGGGCCTCGCCTGCACTGCAGAAAGTGCAGGGACAAGAGGCCAGCTGTCAGTGAGACAGTGGTCTGAGCTAGACAGTCAGATATGCAGCCTAAGCAGGGCCCCCAACGAGCTTCGAGAATGGCGGCCCTGTCAGGTGGGCCATTGTCAGCCCACAACAACCCAGTCTTTGTGAGCTGTTCTCGGTTGCTGGAGGACGTAGAGCAGACGATCCATGGGCCTGTAGAGTCACGGCCTGAAGTCAGGCAAGCAGCATAGCGCTCCATATCCTGCCCTTGGTTTCTCAAAATCGGGCTGGTGGTTCTGTAGGCAAGAACCCCAAGAGCTTTCAACTGAGAACAAGGCTTAGCCCACTTCACCATCCATCCAGATTCTTCTCCAGATCAAGGTGACCTGTGAGACACCCTTGTGGGCTGGCAGCCAGGTTCAGTTTGGAACTGAGTCGAGGCAGGAAGGGATCCTAACTGAGAGGAGACTAGCCTTATTTCCAGCCCTGGTTTAGCAAACAGCTATGGTCTGGTAGACGCTCACGGCCAGGCTGTGGTCTACACACATGAGCCTCAGATGGCTGGGACTCCTTCAGGTATGCCGCCCCCAGCTGTGCACTGTGGCGCAGATTCCAGTTCTCCTCCTGTTCCTCCCGTAGCAGGTGGTCCCAGTCTGGTCTAGGCTAGCCTTGAATTCTTGGAAGATGGGGGAGTGGGGGGCAGGGGCTTCCACGCAAGGTTGAAGTCCTGCCTTTCTATTCCTCTCCAAGCCAGTGCCTTCTAGACATGCTCTCCCTGAACTCACCAGGGAACCAGGTCAATGTGGGACCACCTTGCAAGAATGTGAGCAAGTCAGTTCTCAGTTGTCCTAAGAGGGAACAGGGGAAGCGCGGGGAGGGACCCACAGCAGCTCATGGGTGCCAGGCAGACTACGTGGCCCTCCTGCCTTACCGCAGTGTCAGGCAGGTCCTGGCCCTCTCTGCAGTCTCGCAGGCACATAGAGAGGCCGTGCAAGCTTGTGGTAAGACAGAACTTGCATCTGGAGTCAGCGGGCCTGTGGGGAGAAAACAGCAGCTTCACAGGCAGTCTCCTGCCTCAGTCAGCCAGTCACTGGGTGTTCTATTGCTTCCCCAGGGTGATGGCTGCCCTAGGTTGCAACCACCAGGTGGCCAGCGTGAGCTACTGTTGCTGGAGTGGAGCACTAAAGCTTCCCACTCCGTCCTTCTGCCTGTGGCTTCCTAGTGGTCCTGAGGAGGATTTTGTCACCTGCTCCATGGCCAATGGCCAGCCCAGGGATTCCGTGCTGAATCGCTCCAGGGTGCCTGCCCTCACTGACTCCCCTCACTGACTTGTTTCATCTTGCAGGCCCCAGTGCCTTCACAGAAGCTGTGGCTCACATCCAGGGGCAGTATGAGAGTAAGAACAAATCAGCTCACAAGGAAATCTACACCCATGTCACCTGTGCCACCGACACCAACAACATCCAGTTTGTCTTTGATGCTGTGACGGACGTCATCATCGCCAAAAATCTGCGGGGCTGTGGACTCTACTGAGCCCTGGCCTCCTGCCCAGCCTGCTGCTCACTTCTCCCCTGGACCCAGAGCTCTGCTACCACTCGATGCTCTGTGCACTGAGGGAAAACCCAGAGGCTGGCCCTGGGGGAGGAGGAAGCACCCTCTGAGCATCCCCACCCTACCCCACTCCAGCTGCATGACACATGGGATCAGGGCTGGGCAGAGGCGTGGAGTGCCACACACGTGGCCAGAGACCGCTGCCTGCCACCCGGGTGCTGCTTGCTGGCCAGCTGTGGGCGGCACTGCCATGGGGTTGGGGTGGGCATGCCCTGTGCTCTGTGCCTCCTACTCAGAGTCCTGGTATCTCTTTCTCACCTGAGGTGACAGGGTGGCCGGCAGGATGGCCCTATGGCAGGTGCTGGCTGATTAGGGGATAGTAGATGCTTTCTCTCAGCTTTCCTTAGGGTCTGTTTGGTAGAGGGCAGTTCCGTCGCCAAATGCCATCATGGGATCGGGCCAATTTGGGGGTGTAAAGACTCAGACGTTGGGGGAGGGCTTCCCTATTCCTTCACCTTGGATCTTGGTCCTTCTCTGGCCATCTTCCCTTGCCCGGACTCCCCCGGAAATTCAGGGAAATTCAGCCCTGACCCCCATGGACCTGGGAATATTCCCTTAAGACTGGCTGACTGCAAAGGCGCACTGTGGGGAAACAAGTCCTGTGCCACCGCAGTTAGGGTGGGAAGGGAGGCTGAGCGGGTGGGCAGCTCTTCCCGGCACAGGTTGGTTGTAAGTCCCGAGGGAGCCGTCTGCTGACTCTGCTCACACAGGCTCAGCTGCCCTGAGTGTGAGTGAATAGACAGGTTTTTCTCCAAGTCACAGCCAGAGTAGGCAGCGGCCTCGGGACTGGAAGCGCTTTCGGCAAGCACAGCGGACTTACGAGGCGAGCCCTGAAGCCAGTGCCCTGCTTTACTCCGTCTTGGTCAAGAAGTCAGGAAGCCCTTGGTCTCAGGGCAGAGAGCAAGTGGTGATCCGGGGGTGAGCTTAGGAAGAGTATAGGCCAGCTCAGACATACTCCCAGCCCCCGGAGGGGGAAGAGCCCTGGGAGCCCAGGAAGAGACTTTGCTGCAGAGGTTCCTAAGCAAAAAGGGGTGGAATGGGTTTTGTCACCCCTGACCTCAGCAGGCTTTGAACAGTTAGAACATCTCCCTGCCGTTCCTAGACGTGTCCATTCACCTGCTACGATGGCCGATGGTTCAGGCAGGCTTGTGCGTTCATGGCACAGGCTGTGCCTAGGGATGCATGTGTGTCCGCAGGGCAGAGGGGTCTCTGCTTTCTTTGAGCCCTGTGTTCTGACCTCCTCTCTGAACAGTTCTTACCCCAGGCCAGGCAGGACCTGGCTCTCTTTCACAGTCCCCCTGGCCATGCCAACAGCTCTGAGCTTGTTGGTTCCAACAAGAGCAGAACTCTAGGTGATCAGGAAGACACGGGGACCTCCCCAGTGCCAAATGCTTACAGGGGTGATCCTCTGGGAAGATCACCCCAGTCTGGCTACCTTGCCACGTACCCCTCAACCCACGTTGTGTGCACCTCCATCGTTTTGGGACTTTGTGCCTGATACAGGGAGGTGGCAGAGAACAGACTCCGAGAGCCCGCAGTCTCAGTGACCTGATGCGCTGCCTAAGGCCAGTTAAGTTGTTGGCCCCACACTGAAGATACAGCAGTTATTTCTCAGTATCGCCCACCATGTGTCGCTACCTATGCCCCCAGACTAACCCCAGATTTAAAAGCGCCTGCACTCGAGGGATGCTGGCCAAGCCCCATCTTTTAAGACCGTTTCCAGGGAGGCAGAAGTTACCATTCCTATAACCATAACCCACTCCCAAGTAACCCCTTCAAGTCCCTGCAGCGCGGTAGCCAGAGCCCACAGCTAGACCAGGGCCTACTGTGGACCTACTGTGTTCTGCCTCGTGTCTTGCACCGTGTCAGCAGCTTGCACCATGTGTGGGAGGGGGGCCTTAGGCTGTCTGCTATAAGCCCTCAAGAACATGGTCCACAGCGAAAACCGTCTGCCATCTGTGTCATCACCAGCCGCTCTACCATGGGGAGTGGGGGCAAATGTACGTGATAGATGAGACTTGGCTCCGTCGTGGCTTTGGGTATGGGGGAAAATGTTGTAAGTGACCAGAGCAGGGGACTGTCTCATATCTATGGTGGCCAAGTCAGTGGCCACCCTACAGTTTCTAAATGATCCAGTTCAGCTGGCCAGGAGCCAGCTTCCAGGAAGAGTGCCTTCACCGCGTTCGTGCAACCATGCCTGTTGCCCAGATGCCTGTGGGCAAGTCCTGGGCCCTGTCCCGATGACCATTCTAAGAACCTTCCCTCTAAGCATGGGTAGAGCCCCCAAGTCTCTAGTCTGAGTTGGGGAGGAAGACAGAATCCTTCCCGTCTGAGTCACTTACCATTAGCTCTGGCCTTCAGCCTCCCATGACCCCTTGTGTGGAGCCCCTGGCCCCTGGCCCCTGGCCCTTTGGATCCTCTTGGACCAGGCAAAACACCTCCTTCGTCTCAGCCCCCCGGCCCAGGCTCACACGTCCTGTTAGGGCCTGAAGGCAGCTGACCTATGTGGGCTGCACTGGATATCACAGAGTGTCCTCCTCATAACCTGGCTACCCACAGGCTCTCGCAGGGAAGGCTGACACTGCCTCACCCCAGCCCTGGCCTTCTGCAGAAAGTACCTCTGAAGAGATGCACCCGTGATTCCCACATACCACATGCTACGGCCAGTGCCCTGGGGGCAGGCTTCTCCCCCTTCTCCATCCAACCCAGCCTCTTGACACGGGGACCTGCCACACCCGGGAGAGACTCGTGAAGCCTCCAGATCTTCCCCCCTTGCCCAGGAGGCTGCCACCCTCTTGTGCGATTCTGAGGGCACAGTGTCGTCTGACTGTCACTGCTTTTCTCTGAGCCTCCTGCTGAGCTCCGGGTGCAGCCCCACGTCTCTCAGGGACCCCATCCTGAGGCCCCAGCTCCTGTCACCAGAGATGCAGTCTGAACAGCTGGAGGCAAGCACCTTCCAGGCTGTTGATTCAAGCTAGAGGAAGAAAGGCCTAGCATCCGAGAGGACAGGGCCAGGCGTGTAAACAGGCCTCCACAGCCTACCCCTCAGTAAGAAGAGCCTTGTGCACACCTGCTTGGGGACTGCGCTGGGCCTACAGACACTCCCCCATGCCAGACGGTGGCCATGTCAAGGAGGAAGCAGGTGGAAGAAAACCACAAATAATGGGCCCCATCCAGAGTCCTGGGCCCACTAGTTGGAGCAGGGTACCCTGTGAGGGCAGCTTTCTTCTCTTCCCCAGGCACAAAACGCCACCAGCAGAAACAGTGCCCTTCCCAGCAGCTCTCGGCCTACCCCCCCTCTTAGCTTCCTGCACCAGCCACAGCTGCCTGCCCTGCAGCCTTCCACTCCCTAACTTCTGCCTTGACCCCTGTGGCCTATGTGCATCTTGTAGTCCCAGGCCAGAGGCTGGGTACCCCATGTTCCCCTTAGCAGAGCCTTCTTAGATGCAGTGTCCCCCCCTCCTGACCCACTGCCATCACCTACCCTCATTAACTGTAATTTTGTAAGAGAGTGACTTGTTGGTTTAATAAATACCTAGTTATTGTAATAATTTATTGGCTGCCATAATGTATTTATTAGTCACCCACCATTAATAAAAAGTGCCAGCTCTTTCTAGCATGAGTGTGATGTGTTGTGTCGGTGCCGAAGAGCTCCTGCCGGATAGACACACGTGACAGGGTCTTCTAGTCTCCCCAGTCTCGGGGCTGTGTAGGCGTCGCACTGCTGGGAGCAGGCTCCAGGCCCCTGGCCACTCTGCTCACTCCAGGCTTGCTGCGAGGCAGGTGTGTCTGTCCTGTGCTGAGCTGCCTCCCGGGTCCCTAGCACCTGGTGTCTCAAGATGCCTGGGACCGTGGTGCATGCTGTGGTGCTGGGTGCTGGTCACGGTGACCTGGCTTCCTGCTGTTCTCAGCTCTGCTGCCACCTGGGCAGGTAGAGGACAGGGCCGAAGTGAGCCTCAGGAGGGCCCCAGGGGCTGCGTGCGAAGGCCGTGGCAGGCAGGTGGTTGTGGTCATCTGTAATCCCTGACTTCTCTTCTCTCAAATGGTGCTGTCTCATATGCATGTGCCTGGTGTCTTTCCCCCTCGGAGTACAAGCTGGGCTCTGGGGAAGTTGGTAATGGACGGACTCCTGAGGGGGGCTGTCAGGCTGAGCGTGGAGAGGGTCTCAGTCCCGGCGCTCCCTCACCAGCAGTTCCCTTCTCTGCCCTCCCAGAGTTCTGTCCAGGCCTGCTGCATGCAGGTCTGCATACATCCCAGACCCCAGAACCTCTGCTCACCCGTGTTGCTCCCAGGACCTCGGACCTTGTTAACGCACGTGGTCTCCATACCACTGGCCTGTGAGTGGACTGCAGTGTAGGGGTAGGGAACGGTGGACCGAGACTCAGCAGGCAGGGGTCCAGCAGCCTGGGTGAACTGCTCTTGAGTCCTCCAAACCGAAGCTTTAGGGACCCTTGAGGGGTACTTCGGCCCTGTCCATAGCAATTGGTCCCTAACCTCAGCTTGCACAACTCTGGCGACCCCACTGTGATTTCCCTCTGTGTCCACCACCATCTAGAGACTGGGTAGCTCTTGGGACAATGTGTGGAGTTGAGAATGAGAGCTTGCTTCTGCTGAGGTTTTTGCGATGGCAGCCAGAGGACATGGTGCCCCGTAGGACGGCATGCCTTTTCCTGTTGACTGCTTGGGGGTCTCAGAGCTTCTGTACTAGACTCATGTCGGTTGCCAGTGTCACAGTGCTAGGTCTTGACCGTAGGTCCACGTGGCGCTACCTCTGTGAACACATTCCACCAAGATGACACAGGCAAGTGAGGCCTGTGCTGAGGATGGAAAGGCTTTATTGGAGAGTAAGAATGAAGGTCACTGGGTTTGCTTAGCGGAATCAAAGGACAGTAATTCACTACAGATACAGGAGAGCACTGTGTTTTTTTTTATTGTCTAGGGGCTGTGGGAAGCATCTGAGAACTTGGGGCTGTGCACCCCACATTCCCATCAGCCCTAAGAACAGAGCTGGCAGGCTGGGATAGCTGATGGAAGGCAGGGCTGGCCCCAAGGCATGGATGGAGCCAGGCATGACACTGGTTTTCTTCTGAAAGGCCCAGACTGCCACACTAACAGGAAAAACAGCCCAAGATGTTCTGGGTGCAGCTCAGCCCAGTGCATGTCTGCTTTGGTTTGTTTTTGTTGTCTTGCAGAGCAGGGGGTGGAACCCAGAGCCCCCAGCATGCTAGGCAAGCACTTTTCACCTGAGCCAAGACTACTCTTTGCTCTTGAGGGTCACGATTGTATCACCTTATTGTCCCCTTCATGTTGGTGAGGCCAAGTGGCATTAGGCAGGTAGAGTCCTGAGCTTAGCGCTGGCACAAGGTGGTCTCAAGGATGGGATGGCACCATGGCCACTAAGCCTGCAGTCAGCCCAGCTCCTGCTCCGTCCCAGGTCCATGAGCTTCATCAGAGTCCAGCAGTATCCACACCCATTGTGTCCTCCTGTTACTTGCCAGAAATTTAGTGTGAATTGCTCAGAGCTCAGACCCGGGTGATGAGCTCCCCAAAGCTAGAACACTTCAGGGCACTTTAAGAGAGGCATCTCTTCCCACACCTCTCTGTGCAGAGAGACGCGCTGACAGCAACAGGCTCACCTACAGCAGCAAACAGGTGAATGTGCTCGGCTTCTAAAGTCAAACAATTGCCCTTTACCCAGGGCGAAAGGCCATTCTCCTGAAACTCGGCCTTTATCCTGGGTGCCCATCGCATTCAGCCACTTACTAAACAGATTTCTGTGTACAAGGTAGTAATTTGTGTCTGCCATGCTTAAGATCTTGTAGGTCTGGTTGTATAGATGGCTTAGGCCGGGCAGAAGGAGGCATCCCCTTGCCCCCATTCCTGAAAATGGCCCTGCACACTCCTTGAGTAGCCCCCCTCAAGGATGCTAGTGGCCGTCACTCCATCATCTTCCTGGCATGTACCCTCCCACCCGTTACCCCATGAGAGAGGCCTGACTGGGTCCAGACAAAGAAACCCCACTTCCCCGACTGCAGTCCAGCCCTGTGCTCGCACACATTCCAGGGAGACCATCACACGCCTGGGGGCCTGCCAGTCTGATGCTGGGTCTCCCAACCTCAGCCTCATCCAGGGAACCACAGCAGGCTCCCAGGTCAGTCTCTCATTGGCCCAGAATGGTGGGTGCTTGGCATGCTAGCATCAGATGCACCGCGATGCGTTCCCAATTGCAGGCTTTACACGTTGATCTCGTGGAGGAGCCTGGACCCCAGGGCCTCCTGGATGCTGACCGTCCCAGTGTCTCTTTACGCCTAACTCTCCTCTTCTCTTCCCTGTCTGTGTGTGTGTCTCTCTCTGTCTTGCTCTCTCCCCTCCCCACCGGGGCTGCAGAACCGCATGCACGAGTCTCTCATGCTCTTCGACTCCATCTGTAACAACAAGTTTTTCATCGATACCTCCATCATTCTCTTCCTCAACAAGAAAGACCTCTTTGGCGAGAAGATTAAGAAGTCACCCTTGACCATCTGCTTCCCTGAATACCCAGGTGGGTGTTACCATGGTCCTGTGCTAGAGAAAGATGGCTGTGGACCTGGATCCCCCGCCTACCCCTCCCCTCCACAAAAGACACCAACTGGAATCCCACAGGCTGTGGGCTCCAGGGACCGGCTTTGCAGGCCAGCTAGAAAGCAAGGGCCAGTGCAAGAGTCTGTCAGCTTATTGGAGAAGCACTGAGACATGACCAGCTGTGGACATGTCCCTGAGTAGGCAGTGGCCTTTCCAAAGCCACAGGTGTCACAGTGAATGCTTTAGGGATCATTAGGACTGATGTTCTTTGCTTTCTTCCCTGACGTCTCAGGACTTAGTAGGAAAGCCTCCCAAATTCTCCTGAGGTATCTCTCCTCCCCCTTTGTGAGAGGCAAAGGCAGACTGGAGGAACCTGCGCTCTATGAATACACCCCACCTTTCCCACCATGCCGGCTCCCCAACCTTCACCCAACCACAGGACACCACAGGACAGCTGCTTTCTTCCCCCATCAAACCACTCCACATATTGCAAGCTTCCTCCACACCTACCTGCGTCTCTTCTGCCTTCTGGGGATCTTTAACCCCCACTTGGTCTGGGTCTCAGGGGAATGGATCACAGACAGCCCTCTGCCTCATGCCGACAAAGCGCTTTCCAAACAGGTACAGGAGGGAAAGGCTAAAGGCAGGGTTGATTCAATGCCTGGGCCCATCCCAGCCCTCTAGAGATTGGACACTTTTCCGAGTCCCCTTGGGGCAGAATTGAGGACAGGACCAACACTTTGCAAAGGCAGAGATGTCCCGATCCTTCAGGTATGGTCACATATCACGTGGACCTAGAACTCCCTGACATGACCCTGGAGTTGGCCTGTAGTACTGGTCTCAGGTCCTAGGCCACGCAGGTTTCCAAAACCAGCCAAAGGGACCCTAAACTGTGCCTGCAAATTGCAAGGTACAGAGGGAGTCGGTTTTTTATCTGGGTGCCATGGCAGGCCATGATGGTACGTACCTCAGGGTGGCTAAAGAGAGAGAATCTGGTGTGTGGTACCAGGTTATGGAACTGCTGGCCATTGCTGTCCCAGTACTGAGAGAGTGAAGCCTGAGGGAAACAAGGAAGTACCTTCTGTGGGCGGGACAAGCGCCAAAGCATACCAAAAGGCCAAGAAGCCATGCTGGTAGGCACAGCTGATTCTTCAGCGTCAGCAAGATTTCCCCAAGTTCCAAGGCTTTTTATAAAAGTGTGGCTATGTAAGGAGGTGACAGTCTCAGGTCCTGTCTTTAGGCTCATTAGGAATGTGGCCTGAGTGGTCAGTCTCACTGTTGTGGAGTAGCTGCTGGCTGTCCCCAGCTCAAACAGCACGAAGGATAATGAACAGTTACACATGTCATGCCACCGTGGGTTATGAGGACAAGGAGAGAAGGGTTAGGAGGTGACTGTCTGAGAGACTAGGTGGGCCAGTGTGTTCTGGGTAGCGGTGGGACTGTGTAAAAACACTCGGTTCGGCAGATGGGGCACAGTGAGGCAGCCCCTCCATCCGGAAGCTCATCTTGGGGCTTTCCAGCCAGGAAGCTCCTTGCCAGGGAAGCCTCGGCCTCTCTCTGGTCTCTGAAGGCTTTCCTGTCGCTCAGCACTGAATGACTTCTGCTCTCAGTAGCTCTGGGATGGTGGGTGGAGGATGCTAACCCTGACCCTACCTGAGGGATGCCCCAGCCCCCAGCCTTCACATTGGCTCACCGCTAGCCTGGAACTCCAGCCTGGAGCTATCTTTTGTTCCAGACTGAAAGTCCTTGCCAGTCGGTGCCTCCAGTGGTCCACACCCCTGGCCAATGGGCCTGAGCTCACACTCTCCCAGCATGCCATCGCATTGCTTCCATACTAGGCCACACCCTAACAGACTGAAGGAACCGGGGTGTCTTCTGTGTTCTGGGCTTTTCCACACTTTTGTCATGGTCCATATTTTAATGGTATTCAGTAAAAGGTTGCTAGGGGGCATATCTGCATGTCCTCAGACTGTAGTTGGTTGGAAAAATCGTTGTATCATCACCCACAGATGTGCCCCGCCATTGCCACCCAGCCTGCCAGAGTCGAGGGAACAC